GAACCCTGTTGTTGCCCCAGGCCCTCATTCAAAATGAGGGACCACTGCCCTCCTTCAAGGGGCAGAGTCATACATGCCCTGGGCTCTTGAGAGAGCATTTCTCCAACCATCTCACCTCACCGATGAAGAAACTGAGGCCCAGAAAAAGGCAGCGCCTGCCTCAGGATCATGCTGCAATTGAGGGGCAGTGCTCTTAAACCTAGAACTCCAGACTCCGAGGGCATCAGGATGTCCGGGCTCAGAATCCCCTTCCTTTTTTCCCAAACCAGGCTGCCAGATAGGGCGCAGTCACTGAGGACCTGATAGGGAGCTTATGTTAAGTGTCCCTTATCAGACCTTATCTTAATCATTGTCCTTAACTCCACTTGAGATTTGGAGAGAGCTCTGGAAGTGGGTGGGAGAGGAGGCCTCTGGTGGCATGAGAAGAACAGGATATTGCGGCCAGAAGGCTCACATCCAGACTCTGCCTTTACTGGCTGTGTGACCTTGGGCAAGTCACTAACCCTTGGGGAATGCCTCTGTATGATGAGGGGGATTTAGTGAGAAAATGTGTGTCTCAATCAGTTGGCACTTTATAAATGCTAGTTTATTATCTTTGTGTTGTAAGGAGAGAGGCAGGAGGGGCCTGAGAGGGCCCTCCCACACTCGAGAAGCAGAGAGAGGCTCCTTTTGATGACACTTGGTGTTTACACTTGTTTATGTGGCTTTAACTTTCCCAGCCGCTCTGTGAAGTGATTATTAGTCTCACTTTACAGATGAGGGGACTAAGGCCCAGAGAGACTGATTCATTTGTCCAAGGCCGCCTGATTCCCAGCTTTTTCCTCTCCTGGCTTCATGGTGGCTGAATATAGGCCTCTGCAGCATCTATAATATGAGGATAATCGTGCCTTGAAGGAACAAAGGAAAAGGCTTTGGAAAGTCAGAATTGCACCCTGGCCAGAAGAGATTATTATGTCATTGTTGGGAGCAGATACTGACCCGGAAACTCATTATGACATTTCTTAATATTATTGTAGCTAATTCCTCCCTGCGCAACTGCCTGTTCCCCCAGGCGCCTGTGGGGTGGGATCCTCTCCCTGTCCAGGGCACTCCCTGCCCCTCATTATTTACCTTAGAACCAGCCTGTCAACTCTGTCCCTGCTAGGGTGGGGCTTCCCATTGAGGGAAGAAAGGAGGGGGATTCCCCTTCTGCAGAGACAGGTGGGGTGCAGAGCTCCTTTTTGGGCAGGGACCAAGGCTGAGGCCCCCCTGACCCCTTAATCCCCCAGATGTAGTACCACTAAGGCATTTGTAAGGAGACCAAGGTTCAAATGTGGACTCAGCCACTTCCTGATTGGGTGACCTTGAGCAAGTCACTTTCCCTGATGCCTCATGCTCTTGTAAAAAGGAAAGTCACACGCACCATTCAGGTTTCCTGTTAAGTGTTGTACGAGATCATAGAAGAGAAAGCGTTTTGAGAACTGTAAAGCGCACCCACCTGAAAGTTTTTATGTTCATTTCCCTTTGTCTTGCCTCTATGAGAACAAAATCTGCATATGCTCTAGGTTCTGTTGCCCTGGCCCCCTTGGGCCTTGGTTTGTCTACCGGTACAGGGAGGGGTTGTGACTTAGAGCCTCTGAACACCCTGAATCCTGGCTCCTGGTCTTGGCCAGCGCAGTTGCAGAGAGGGGACAAGGTCAGGCTTGGAGGGTTCCAGCTCCTGAGCAAGGCCACCTGGGCAGCTCTGCCCTCCCCCCGTCATTCCTCTCCCCTGAGTCAGGCCTGCCTGGCTGTGGGCGCGCCACCGCCCCCGCCCCTTGTTCTGGAATGGGGCAGGTTGAGGCCTCACCCCATGGAGGATGTTGCCAAGACAGTGCATACGCATGCGCACAAATGTGTAAATGGCCTTGGAAGCAGGGGCTCCCTCCCCCATTCTTCCCTGTCCCCAGGCTCAGGAAAGCCCCAGAGTGGTGTGCTCATGCACCTACTGTCATGTACACACAGCCACCTGGCAGGGACCTGCATGAGTCTCTGCAGTCCAGATTGTACATGAGGAGGACAGAGACTAGGGTGGCCTGAGTATGCTTTGTGGATGTGGTCCTAGGAGTGCCCATTGGGAGGTGCGGGTGGTGGTGGTGGTGGCCGCAGTGGGACATTCTGGAGGTGTGTGCCCCCCTGTCTCCACTGGTGGACTGGATCTGAGCTCACAGAACTTGTATGTGTGCTTCCTGGTGTGCCCTGCATGTTGTGGGGCGTGGCTGGGACCAAGGTGTCCTCAGATCCTGGCAGGCTCCTCCCTCAGGCAGGTGGAAGAACAGGGGAGACTCAGCCTGCACCTGTGGACAGTGCTGGAGCAGAAGGTCTTGGAACACAGACTCTTAAGTGTGCCCTTGGGAAAAATCCTTCACTCTCCGGGCCTCTGTTTCTTTGTGAGGTACCTGCCCTCCACCTGAGACTCGGGTTGCCTGAGCCCCTCCCGCAGGTGTGTAGACCTGTGTCTGCCTGTGGCTCAGAGAGGCCTCAGGCTCTGGCCAAACTGTGAGTGGGTGGAGGGAGGGATGTTGCTGGGGCAACCAGGCATTATCAAGAGTGAGAGCCTTGGATCAGGCTGGGGAATTTGCAGCTGTGACCCTGACTCTCAGCTGTGGGCCTGGGACCTTGAAGAGCTGATGTGCCCCCATCCCTGACTTAGTAGGAGCTTAGCCCTTGTTTCCCTGGTTAGGGGGAAGCTGAGGATGACTGCGTCCTGCATGGTTAAAGGCTCCAGTTTTGGAGCCAGCCAGAGCTTGGGAAATCACTTAGTTCTCTGAGCCTCATGAGTCCATAATCAGTTACCTGGAGAGTATTTTCCAGTACCTGCTGCGAAGGGCTGCCGTAAGGTCCATGAGGGCAGACTGTTTGCCATCCACCACACCTGGCATGGTGCCTGGCATGAATTAATCACTCTGCAGGTGTTGGTCTACTCTTTTCTGTTTGAGTGGGACTAATAAGAGGGATGGATGGGTCTGGCCTAAGAGAGAGGGAAGTGGGGATGATGTGGTCAAGAAACCTCGAATTTGTGGTGATAATAGGGTCCCTCCTGCAGAGGGAAGATCAGGTTTGTAGCTGACACAGTGGACAGAGCATGGCTTTTGGATTCAAGTCCTGAGTGCAAAAGCTATCCTACCATTTACCAGCTTTATATAATGCTTGCCCTCTCTGGCCTCTGTTTCCTCATCTATAAAACGGGAATTAAAGTGCCTACACTTCTTAGGATTGTTTATAGATTTCAATGATTTGTGGATATATACTCTTCAGCTCCATGGAAGTTTGTTTTCCCGAGAGTGAGGGCTCAGCCTTCTACTTGCGTGGTCTCTGAGAGGTGGGGCAGCAAACGGGGCAGGGGCTGCAGAGGGCTTGCCGCATGGGAGACACTGAATTCTTAGATCCCTAGGGACTTGGAGAGAAAGGTGCTATGAGAGAGGGATGTCCTCAGGCAAGTTTGGGGGACAGCAGTTTATAGTTCACAGACTTTCTCTGCCACAGTCTCAGCTACACTTTTTGGAGTTGCCAGGGGGATCTCTTTTAACACTGTTGCTACCCAGCTTAACCTTCAGTATTACTGACCAACCTGCTGGGGCTCTGAATAAAATCCAGGCTCTGCCAAGGCCTATGGGCCCTACCGGACCTTGCTCCTGCCCTCCTCTCATTTCCTGCCATTCTCTCCCTTGCTCACCATATTCCAGCCACATTGGCCTCTGTTCTGGGAAACCCACCACTGCCCCAAGGCCTTTACCCTTGCTGATGCCCCTGTGTAGAAGGCCCTGAGCCCAGCACTTTCTCTGGCCGGCTCCTTTTCATTCTTCAGGTCTCAGGTCCAGTGGCCTTTCCTTGGAGAGCCTTTCCTTCATGCCCCCTAAAGATACCCCCTTCCTGTCACAGCTTCTCAGTCTTCACTATCTAAAATTATATTGGTAGTTTACCACATTCGTGTATTCATCAAATACTTGTTGAACTCACAGTACGTACCCAGGCACTGATTTAGGCTCTAGGGATATACAGGTGAACAAGATTAAGTTCTCTTCCTTTAACTGTAGCCCCCGGCGCTAGCTTAATACATATTTGCTGATCGAATGAATCAATAGGATAATGTTTTAAAGTGGAGTTATTGGCCTTGTTTCTGTATGAGGTCATGGCTTGTGTGTGATGGAGCTGGATTTGAACCTGGACCTGACTTTCCTCCAAGTGCTGCTGCCCTTACTGCCCTCACCTAGGAGCAGTTTCGTGGCTAATTCTGTTCTCCCTGCCTGGTGATCCAGCAGAGTCACTGAGTCACAGAGTGAGGCCGATGGGTAGAATCCTGGGTTGGAGGAGCAGAAGGCGTGTGTTGAAGGCCTGCCTCTGCAGTGTGACCTTGGAGAGTTCACACTGCTTCTCTGGGCCGCTGATGTCACATTACCAAAGTGGGAAGAAAGTCCTTTGGAAAGTGTGGGGCTGAACATACACATGAGGGGTTGTTACCACCTGCCACTGTGATTCCGCTCTGGGCATCTCCCTGGCTTCCTAGTACTGTGTCCTGGGCTGGCCCCCACCCCTCCAAGGGCCTCTGCCAGTGGCCTTGCCATCCCCACAGGCAGTCCTGGCCTTCTGCCTGGCTGCTCCATGAGCTGACTTTCTTCCCTAGGGGATTACCCTCACCAGCCAGGAGGGCCTGGGGTGGGCACCATGCCAAGTCTAGTCTAGTGGCTCTTCTACCTACCATCTGGCAGCTGGGAGCCCTGTGTTAGCTCTGGCTCCGGGCTGTTTAGAAAGGGACTCGGGGACAGGGTTAGTGGTCTGCCCCTGGAATTGAGTATCTCCAGTCCTCCTAGTCATACTGCCCACTAAAGCCGAGCACCCCCAGACTCCAGGCCTCAGTTTCCCTGCCAGAGTCTGAGTGTTTCTGCCCCTGCACTCCACTTGAGGGGCGGGGTCGGTAGAGGGGCGGGACCAGTGGAGAAGGTGGGAGGAGGACCTGGAGAACAGCCCCTCCCCTCCTCTGCCTGGAGCCTTCGCTCTGCTACTGGGCGGGGCGGGCGGACCAGCATCCCTTAGCGCTGGGTTGTGGTGAAGGCACCTCGCCTGGTGTTTTGGAGAGGTCTGGATAGGGACGGTCCGAGTGGCGCCCACAGTCATGGTGGTGTTCCTGGGCCGCCACCTCCCGGCGCTCCTCGGGCTCTTTAAGAAAAAGGGTGAGTGGGTGTGGCTGGGGGGGGGAGTGGAGAGGAGGGATCCCCGATACTTCCATTTGCCAGACCCTTATGTAGAATGGGGGATCAAAGCCGGGGAAGGGCAATAGGAAGGGGTGGGGGCCAGTAATGAGGCCAGGCTTCTCTGTCGGCTACCGTGCCTTTGTCCAGCCGCTTTGCATCTGCCTTTGTCTCGGCCCTGGTTGTGTTTGCGAGGTGTCTCTGACCTTGACGACTGCAGCCCTCGGTTGAGACTGCCTCCCTCCAGGGGTACCCACACTTTTCTGATTACATCCCAATACCTCAGCTCCGAGAGGCAGGGCATCCCCTCCAGGTCTGTGTGTGGAAGGGATGTAAGGCGTGGAAAAGAGGGGGAAGTAGTGCCTCAGAAGTTGGGGGCATGCTCAGCGAAATCATGTTTAGAGGCCCGGGGATAGAGAAGTTTGGGAAGGAGAGACCTGTGCTGACTCCCTTCTCCCAGGAACTGACTGGGCTTTCAGGCGTGGATTGAGATGGGGCCAGAGTTTATTGGACTTTTGGGGGGTGGGGCAGAGGGATTGTGATCTAGGAATCCCCTCTGGAAACCTGGAGTTTAGTCCTGGTTTAGTCTGACTCTCATTTGCTGGGTGGCCTTAGGGAAGATCTTGCTTCTTTGAACCAGTTTCCTGATTTATAAAATCAGGATTGGTGAGAAGGTCACTGAGAGACCTCCTAGCTCTGACCTTGTGGGATCCCTGCAATTCCCTGCGCAAGAGCTGGCTGTTGAAGAATGGGCTGAGGAGGGAGGAAAGCGCAGGTGTCTGAACGAAAGACCCTGATTCTCGGGTGTGGCCCTTTAAAGGGCTTGTTTTGTTCTGCTCCTCTACAAGGTGCCGCCAAGGTCACATGACCCTCCCAGTGCTTTTGCTTGGGTTGTGGGTTCCATTTAAAGGGGGGCTGGAGCTGCAAAGTGCTGACACAGCCCCTCATTCCCAGGATTAGATGACCAACTTCCCCTTGGGCGGGGCCTGTAACAGGATCCTTTGTAATGGATCTCTGGCTCCTGGGGGTAGGCGGGGAGGAGGGGGAGTCCGGGAGCTGGGGAATACTTGGGGCTGTTGCCCCAAGAGAGGCTGGAACTTCCTTGTCTGGGGGTGAAGAGGCCTGGGTCTCTCTTTTCCCCCTCCCCTGCCTTCCACTAAGGGGCAGCCTCATGGGTGAGTAGGGGACCCAAGAGGCCATATGGTTTGTCCCTCTCCCCCAGGACTTCCTGGGATTCTGGTTATGACCCCTGCTAGCCTCCACCCCTTCCTAGTGTCCCATGGTCTCTTCTGCCTGGACCTGGACCAAGATATGTATGAAAAGGGTGGGTTTTTTTTTCCTGTAAAGAGGAGCTCAGAGTCTGTCTGGAGATAAGAGAAATGTACAGTATTTGCTATGGGCTGTATGTCTTGCATGGGGCCCTGAGTGGTGTATGGATACACAGTTGTGTGTATGTTTGGGTGCTGTTTGTGTATGTACAGAATGGGGACTGTGGGTGTTGTGTGTATACGTGAGGGCTGGGTGTGCTCTGTGGAGGTCCCTCTGTGCCGTGTGGGCACACAGATGTGTTTATACTTGGGTGCTTTGTATACATACTGAAGTCTGTGGGTGTGTATGTAGACCGACGCCTGTGGGTGTTGCATGCATCTATGGTGGGCCTGTGTGCCCTGGGTGTCGTGCCCTGTATGGGGCCCTTTGTGTGGTGTGGGTACTCAGATCTGTGTACGCTTGGGTATAGTTTGTGTATGTGGCTCTGTGTGTATTGAGTGTGTACCCCAGGACTGTGGGTTTCTGTGTCCAGATTGGCGGAAGTGGGCATTGCATGTATGTGCAGGGGCCGTGTGTAGTCTGGGACTGACTGTGAGCGCCCTTTTTGTGGTGCCTGTGCATCCCCAGGGCCCAGATGCCTCTGGGCTTCATTTCTCTTCCCCTTCCGTCCCACTAGGCTCTGCCAAGGCTGAGAGTGACAAACGTCTGAGTGTTGGTTCTGGCCAGGGACCAGGGTCTGTAGTGGATGAGCACCAGGACAATGTCTTCTTCCCCAGTGGGCGACCGCCTCACCTGGAAGAGCTGCACACGCAGGCCCAGGAGGGGCTGCGTTCCCTACAGCACCAAGGTAACCTTCCCCTCCCCTCTAGTGCTACTTTTAGCTCCCAAGGTGAGAGGCCTAGCCCAACACACTTTTCTGGTATCTTCCAGAAAAACAGAAACTGAACAAGGGTGGCTGGGACCATGGAGACACCCAGAGCCTCCAGGTGAGCCCTGCCCCCAGCTCAGCCTGACTCTATTCTTCTCTCCCTGCTTGACCTCTGGCAGGTATGTCTCTGAACCTTTCTGAATCTTAGTCTCCTTCTTGTATCATGAAGGGCTGGACTAGATGACCGTTCAAGGCTAGTTCAGCCGCTGTCTGCTCAGTGCTAGGCGATGCTGAGGGCAATCTGAGTACAAAGTTCCAAGGAGGAGCCCTGAAGAGGCAATAATAAGCCCCACCCAGGCCTCGGAGGTGGTCCTGGCTCTGTGGGCAGGGTCTGATCCCCTTCTTTCACCAACAGTCCTCCCGGACGGGGCCGGATGAAGATAGCATCTCCTTCTGCAGCCAGACCACATCCTACACGGCTGAGAGCTCCACGGCAGAGGACGCTCTCTCCATCCGCTCGGAGATGATCCAGCGCAAAGGTGTCTGCTCACCAGCCAGAATTCTTGGACAGGGGAGAGGGGTGGTGGGCATCATCTGGGTCCCAGCACCTGCAGCTTCCCCCTTTCCTCTTCATCTAGTATTTCTCAAGGCTCTGTGAAATCAGTGAATTCAGGAAACACAGTACCCTTTGTCCTCTTGGAGAGTCACGATGCATATTAACTGCAAAGCAGGACAGTTAAAAGTCGGGAAACCTGGGTTTGAGCCTGGCATTGCTCCTTACCAGCTGTATGACCTTGGCCCAACTCTTAACCTCTCTGAGCTTCTGTTTGATGTTCTATAAAAATGAGGACAAGAGGACTTACATCATTGGAATGAATGCCAAGTGTTTAGCATGCTAACACATAATAAATGTTCACTAAATGGCAATTATCATTATTGACCTAGTAAAACCTTCCAGAAGTCTTATAGAAAAGAAATGTCTAGCTTTGTTTAACCCAGCTTTTCCCCTACCTGCTTGACTATGGAAATCGGTTTTCACAGAGCTCTTATTAATAGTCTACAAAAGCACTGCTCTGCAGAATGTTCTGAGACCTGCTCTAATTGTTTCTGTCCCTTGGACTGGCCCCCAGGTTCCACCTTCCGACCCCATGACTCATTTCCTAAATCATCTGGAAAGTCAGGGCGGCGTCGGCGGGAACGGCGAAGCACGGTGCTGGGACTGCCGCAGCATGTGCAGAAGGAACTCGGTGAGCCCTGGGTTAGGCGGGCAGCGGTGGTGGGTGGGGAGCCCTGCTGGATCTCTCTGCTGACTCCCAGGTCATCCCTGCCCACTCTAGGCTTGCGGAATGAGCGGGAGGCACCCGGTACTCCTCGGCCTCCTGGTCCACGGGATGCTGTACGAATCCCCACGGTGGATGGCCACCCGGCGGGCCTGGCCTCAGGAACAGGAGTCCGGGTGTCCCTGCAGGCGCTGGAGGCAGAGGCGGAGGCTGGGGCCAAGGCAGAGGCCATGCTGCAGCGCCATATCGACCGGGTCTACAGGGATGACACCCTCATTGGCCGGTCCACAGGAGCCCAGCCCCCAGTAATGACCCGGCCCATGTCCCTAGCAGTGCCCGGACTGACAGGAGGGGCAGGGCCTCCAGAGCCCTTGAGCCCAGCCATGTCCATCTCGCCCCAGGCCACCTACTTGTCGAAACTGATCCCACATGCTGTGCTGCCACCCACAGTGGACGTGGTGGCCCTGGGCCGCTGTAGCCTGCGCACACTGAGCCGCTGCAGCCTGCTCTCGGCCAGTCCGGCCTCTGTCCGCTCACTGGGCCGCTTCTCCTTGGCCTCCAGCCCGCAGCCCCGCAGCCGCCACCCTTCCTCTTCCAGTGACACCTGGAGCCACTCTCAGTCCTCGGAGACCATCGTGTCTGACGGCTCCACCCTCTCCTCTAAGGGTGGCTCTGAGGGCAAGCCAGAGGGCTCTGTGGCCAGCAATAGTGTGGCGCCCCCTCCACAGGGGGGCAGTGGGAGGGGCTCGCCCAGTGGGGGCAGCACTGCTGAGGCCTCGGACACTGTCAGTATTCGGAGCAGTGGGCAGTTGTCCGCTCGGAGTGTGTCCCTACGTAAGATGAAGCGGCCCCCACCACCTCCCCGCCGGACCTACTCGCTCCGTCAGCGGGGCTCAGCAGCCCCTGATGGGTCCTTGGGGTTGCCTCCCAAGCCAGAGCGGAAGCAGCAGCCACAGCTGCCTCGGCCACCCACCACTGGTGGGTCAGAAGGGACAGGGGCAGCACCCTGTCCATCCAACTCAGCAGGCAGCTGGGTGCCTGGCTTGTCTCCAGGTGGTTCCCGGCGCCCCCCACGCTCCCCAGAACGGACTCTCTCACCCTCCAGTGGGTATTCAAGCCAAAGTGGTACCCCTACCCTCCCTCCCAAGGGTCTAGCAGGGGCCCCTGCTTCCCCAGGCAAGGTCCAACCCCCTAAACCAGAGCGGGTCACTTCCCTCCGGTCTCCTGGGGCCTCTGTCTCCTCCTCCCTCACATCTTTATGTTCCTCCTCCTCCTCTGACCCAGCCCCCTCAGACCGTTCTGGTTCACAGATGTCGACTACCCTGAGTGACAGGTTTGCCATACCTCCTCACCCCAAGGTGCTCGCCCCCTTCTCCCCACCTCCCTCCAAGTCCAAGAGTCCTAAGCAAGCTGCCCGTGCTCTGGCTACCCCTGCTGTGGTCCCTGGGCCCATCTCTACCACTGATGCCAGTCCTGAGCCCCCTCCAACCCCCCAGACATACCTGACCCCACCACAGGAGTCTCCCATTGTCTCCAAAGACCAGTCACCTCCACCATCCCCACCCCCGTCTTATCATCCACCCCCACCACCCACTAAGAAGCCAGAGGTGGTTGAAGAGGCCCCATCTGCCCCAGAGACTGCTGAGGAGCCCCTCCAAGATCCTAGCTGGCCCCCACCCCCACCTCCTGCACCTGAGGAGCACGACCTGTCCATGGCTGACTTCCCCCCACCAGAGGAAGCCTTTTTCTCTCTGGCTGGCTCTGAACCTGTAGGCCCTTCAGATCTCCCGGCCCCCGTTAGACCCCTGGCTGCTTCGCCCTCCTCAGCTCCTGTCTCCTCCCAGAGCCAGCTCCATGGTACCGCAGACCCTCCAACTCCGCCAGCCCTACCTTCTGGCTCTGTCACAGGGCTTCTGGCCAAGCTCCCTCAGAAGGAACCAGTGGGCTGCAGCAAGGGTAATGGGGTTCCCAGGGAGGATGCCAGTGCACCCCTGGTCACACCCTCACTCCTGCAGATGGTTCGGCTGCGCTCTGTGGGTGCTCCCACAGTGGCTCCAACCCCAGCGGCGGGGCCATCGGCTCCTCAGAAGCCACTACGAAGGGCCCTGTCAGGGCGGGCCAGCCCAGCACCTGCCCCTTCCTCTGGTCTTCATGCTGCCGTCCGACTCAAGGCCTCCAGTCTGGCTGCCAGCAAGGGCCCTGTGGGTGCCCAGCCCAATGGGCCGCCTGAGGCAGAGCCACGGTCTCCCCAGTCCCCTGCCTCTACGGCCAGCTTCATCTTCTCCAAGGGCACGAAGAAGCTGCAGCTGGAGCGGCCCGTGTCCCCTGAGAACCAGGCTGACCTCCAGCGAAATCTGGTGGCTGAACTTCGGAGCATCTCAGAGCAGAGGCCACCCCAGGCTCCAAAGAAGCCACCTAAAGCTCCCCCACCTGTGGCTCGCAAGCCCTCTGTGGGTGCCCCCTCACCCACCTCCCCCAGCTTTTCTCGGGCTGAGCCCGTTACTACTGCTCCTCCCACCAACGGGCTCCCTTATGCAGAGGACAGGACTAAGGGGGAGCCAGCGGAGAATGGAGGTGTCATGCAGCTCGTGGGCCCAGAGGAGCAAAAGCTGGGTCTACCTGGTTCAGGTACAGTGGGCAGTGGTGGGGTGTGGGTCCCATTGCTGGTGATGTAGTAGGTATCTAAGTCTCACCATTTAGGATTTGTCCTTGGATCTTTAAGACTTTTGGCCTCAGGATGCCTGGGCAAGGTGAACTGTCACCCTTGAACTACAGTGAAGAGGCATGGCATGGGGCTTTGGCGTTGGAATTACCGAGTTTGAATTCCAACTTTGCCATTATATCTATCTGTCCTAGCCTCAAGTTTCTGTCAATTGTGGGGCAGTGATGCCTACATTAGTGTCAGAGATAATGTTTGTGGCATGCTGCTGACGTGGTCAGTAAATTGGGGTGAGGTAAGGATGTTCTTTGGGCTCAGTGGCCAGGCCCAATCCTTGCTGAGTGTGCTTTCTTTTTTCCTACAGACCCACAGAAAGAGCTGGTCTGACCACTGGGCCCCTCACTGGCACTGCTGACCCATCCCAGGAATACAATCTCAGGGACCTGAGCAGCTCCAAGGATGAGAGGATATGGCAGACACTTAATAGAGAGGATGCCTGCAGCCTTAACCTCCACAGCCTTTGATATTTATGCAAGCCTGGTGTTGATCCTGTCCTCCAAGTCATCCAGCTCATGCCTTTTCCTGAAGAGTCACCTCGGGTGGCTGCCGCTTCAGTTTTGGCCTTAGGAGGTAGCTAGTGGGAGTGGGTGGTTGCGCCCCCTGCTGGCCCCGAGGCCAGAGTTATGAGTGGAACATCTCACTTGAATTTGTTTCCTTCATGTCCAAATCATGTAAATACTGTAGTCCAGAATCAAAGCACTTTTGAAAAGGGGCTGCATGTCCATCCTCCGGGGCCCATGAAGCCACATTCCAGGGGCCTGTTTACATGGCAGCAGCATTAATCCCCAGTGGCCAGCCCATTGCTGGGACCATCCCTTCCCTCCCATCCAATCTGCTCTTCGTTCTTGGAGGTGTGCAAGTCATTGCATTCCCACTGGCTTCTCCAGGCTGGAGGTAGGAGTGAGGCTGTGGAATTCCAAAGCACAAAAGGTGCAGTAGGCGTTAACCTTCCTGTACCTCAACTTAACCACCAACCACCCTCCTGCCTTCCAGTTCTGCCAGGTGCTCCATGCAGGGGAGAAATAGGAGACTGCCAGGGCCCAAATGGGAGGAGGGAGAAAGAACCAGAGAGGAGGAGGTCATAGGCTCTCTGTCCTCAGAAAGCAGAACAATGTAGGGAGTCATCTGGGGGGAGGGGGGGCACTTGGCAATGCCAAGCAGCTCACCTGATCAGCGTCAGGTGGGTAGGCATAGCACTTAAGAGGCAGCACGGGCTGTGGCAAAGCTGTGTCCCTTTCAGCTGAGCAGGAAGTACTGAGGAGGTGGGTAGAGGGGAGGGTCTGGCAGGGGGAGAGCTTACTTGGGCAGTGGGCCCAGATCCGGCCCTACAGATTCCATTCTCTGACCTTTCTCTTTCCTCGTCTCCATGCATGTCCTTTCTGCAGCTACCCTTCAGCCCAGGTGGTTGCACTGGGGGGAGCTGATGCTGAGTTGACAAGGATGTGGAAGCCAAAGGTTCATTCTATTCCAAACTTCCTAGTCAATGGGGGGGGTGTCACTCAGTGCTCCTAGGGAGCAGGCTGGGTGGTTGCCTCATAAACATCAGCCTCTGCTACTGATCTCCAGGAATTTTAACGACCTTTCTGTTTTCAAGCTGTGCCACCTATCTAGGTAAGCTGGCTTCCCTTCCCCATTGGCCTCTGTGGCTCCACAGTGACTCAGGTGTGAGTCTGGCAAGGAACCTTGCATTTAGCTGTTTTCCTTCCACCAAGGAGATTGACCCCCTCCCAGACAGAGAGCTGGGAACACGGGATGTGGTACGAGAAGTCCAGGTTCCTCAGGTCCTCGCTCGCTACTGTCTTCTCCCTATAGCTGTAAACATTCTCTTGCCCTTTGGGTAATGGAGAGCTGCTGCTGGGTACATGTTGCATCTGCCCAGTGAGTTGGGGAAAGATGATGGTCAGTAAGCACTGCTCTGCTCAGAGTTGCTGGTCCAAACCCCTGGGAACCAGGACGGGGCCAAAGCCTCCACGGAACCAGATCCTGGCAGCAGCCTTGGAGTTGCTGGAGGTGGGAGGGAGCCCAAATTCTGTGTCTCTTACCCTCCTTTTCCCTCAGAATCTTCTGAGCTTATTTCCCCACTGGGTGGGACAGTACGAAGGAGAATGGAGGATCTACATGAGGAAACTCTTTGTCCTCTGGGGTAAATGAGCTTGATAGTGCAAATGGAGAGACCAAAAGCCTCTGATTTTTAATTTCCATAAAAATGTTAGAGAGACGTATATATATTTCTTTAAATTTTTGAGTCTTTGATATATTACTGTACAAAAAAATCCATTCCCTCTGCCCTGAAGCCTGAGTGAGACATGACAAAGCTCTGTATGTTTCATTCAAAGGTGTTAATTAAATGATTAAAACTTGGCTGTGGCTGCTGCTTCTTAACGCGCAAGACAGGGCAGTCATCTGGCCCACATTTAGAAGGGAAAATGTTCTGTTTGCTGAGGGCACTGGGCCCCAAAGTGGCCCTCTCCTGCTTTGTACTGCCAAATGCAAAGTCAGGTGTCCGTCCAACATCACCTATGCCTCCTTCCCCCACCCCACCCATTACAGTGTCAAAAGTCCAAGATACAAGCAGCCCAGGCTGGGTGAGGGGCCCAGCAACTACTACATACTCATGTTTCTGTCTCCTAAGATGGTCCAGTTCACAGCCAGGCCCCGTCCAGACACCTTTTTTTAGACATTTTATTTGAATTCATGACAGTGACGGTTAGTGATACTGATTGAGATGGCTTATGGAGAAGTACCACACCCTCTATGAAGAAAGAACCGGGCCATACCATCCACCCTACTGATGTTAACATGGCCAGGGACTGTCCCAGCCTAGCAGGATCAAGGGAAACTCCAGGAGCCTTGGGCCGGGCCTGCCCCCAGTGCCAAGCCTCAGGGTTGACAGGCATTGGCGAGAACTGCCAACCACTTGGTAGACCACTAGGCTCTCTGTTTTCCCTTCCCTTTCCTTTTTCAAATCCCACAATTTCCTGTTAGGGAGAAGCTGTAATTAGCCCCGTTCCGGCACCAGATCCCAGGCAGAGGCACAGCTGCTGGGACAACTCGAGGAAAACCTGGGAACCAATATTTTTCCAATTAGGTTTGTGGCATAAACTTTTTCTGTGAATTATACTGAAACCAGATTTCTCAAGTCAGCTGCCATGGGAAGAAGGTAGAGCTAGCCTCACAGCTGCTGCCCCGCCCTGTCACTACCTGGGGGGTCAGCCTCTCACTGTGGCCAGACTGGGACGATCCTGGATCCTGCATTCCTGGATCCTGCATTCGGGGGAGGTTGAGCTGCCTCTTACCGAGTTCTGCACCTAATAAAGTCCCAAACTTCCTGCTTCAGTGTCCTGGGAGATGGGCAAACAGGTGATAGACGGAGCAAACTGAGGAGGCAGCAGATGACTCAGGATGATGGGAGAAGGGAGGAGGATGCCGGGTCAGCTAGCTAATGTTCCCCCCTTTCAGCGATTTACAGGAGATGTACCCCAGCTTGGTCATGAAGTTGATTTCCTTCCACTGTGCGATGCATTCCTCAGAAATTTTAAAGTCAGACTGGACAAGAAACAAAAAAAGTGATTATAGTGATGGGACTGCAAGAAAACAAAGACTCTCTTATATATACTACTAGTAGCGTAAACTGACTCAACTTCTCTAAGAGCAGTTTGTCAAAGCCTCCATGTTCACATCTTTTGACGGGTAAGCCTGAATCATTGCTGAAGGCAAAAACGACAAAACTGAAGCTGGCCTATTTCAGGCACATCATGAGAAGGCAGGGTTCCTTGGAAAAGACAATAATGCTGGGAAAAATAGAAGGCAGCAGGAACAGAGGAAGCCTAAACAGGAGATGGATTGACTCCATAAAGAAGCCATAGGCGTGAGCCTACAGGAACTGAGCAGGGCTGTGAGCACAGGACACAGGACATCACTCATTCATAGGGTCGCCAGGAGCTGGGGCCAACTCAGCGGCACAAAGTTCATTTTAGGAATTTAAGAAAATAATCATGAATATGCGCAAAGAACTATGTGCCAGGACACCCATCGTATCATTCTAATAGAACAACTTCAGTGTCTAATAGGTTAAATAATTTGGTTAAATTATGGTAATTATGACAAAATACTATACAATAAGATTCCTCCTCAATATTTAAGAAGATGTGGAAGTTTTTCAGGCATGAAGTTAAAAATAAATAAACATGGTATGACTCAAACTATAAATATTTCTATGTATAGAAAAAGTCCAGAAGGAAATAATCACTAATGACATTTTTCAGTATCTCTAGGTGGTAGGACTATGGGTATTTTGTGTTTTTTTTTTCATTTCCCCCTATATTTTACATTTCTACATTGAAAATTTATAGCCAGAAAAAAATAAGTTAATTCGTAAAACCATCCTGGAAAGGAGGGAGGGGACAAAGCCATTTGGCACATACAGGAGAATGTGGAGAGGTAGAAATCGCTTGAAATGCCCTCCAGAAACACTGTCTGATTGAGGAAAACAAGTTATTAGCTAGAAAAAGTTGCACAGGTAGTGTTAGTTCCATGAAGAGAGTGATTTTTTGCTGCTTTATTCACTGCTGTAGCCCAAGAACCTAGAACACTGCCTGATATATTTAATTAGGGACCCAATATTTGTTGAATGAATGAATGAATTCAAGGCTGACAGGGGCAGGCTGTATGTGAGTCAGTACCCCAGAGGGAGAAGAGAGAATGAGTACTCTAAGATCAAGATGGGTGGGAAGGACCCTGGGAGGGTTTTGTTCCTGGCTCCATCACTTCTGGTGACCCTGTGTGGCCTTGGCAGATATTCTGCCAGGTACAATGGGGATAATCTCCTATCACAGACTGAAGATCAAATGAGGAACTGTCTGAAGTCCCTTACACAGTGCCTAAGGTAGCCTGTCAGTGCTCAGTACCTTGCGAGGGCATCTCATTCAGAAAGGTGTGGAATGAAGAAGAGAGGGGCTTAGATCCAGAAGGCCCAGCTGGGAAAAGGGCAGGTTTGGATTCAATAACAGAGCAGCCTGGGGACACAGTCCAGGCAGCCCAGGTAAGAGAGGAACTGCAGCAGTTTACCTGCAACTTCTCAAAGACTTTCTTCTTGGGCTTGAGCTCCTCGTCTGGTTGGCCCTTCTCGTAGCCCTTCACAAACACTCGCTCACCAGGAGCAGAGTCTACAGGAGGGTCCAGAGGCTCCACCTTACGGCTGACCCCTTCCCTGGGAAGATACACAGGACCAAGAAAGAGTGAGGCTACGGACTGCTTTCAGCTGCCTCAAAGGCCAAAGCATTAGGGCCTTCACATGGGTGCCTTCCTGGGATTTAGGCCACCCTCACCGCCAGAGCCCCAGGAGTCCCTCATTGCTGTACTACATGTCTGGACATCATCAGGGTTGGGTTAACCAGGGCTAAACTGAAATCCTATGTCAGGAGAGATTCTGAAGTCTGGGCTCTTAAGGGAGGGAAGTACGACACAACAGAAAGCAAGGCCTTAACAGCCAATCAGAAGTGGGCTTGAATCCTGGCTCCACCTCTTATCAGTAGGGAGAGGTGGGCATGTACACATTGCTTTGAACCTTCAATTTCTGTTTTGATAGTTAACTGTAGGTAAAGCGCTTCATTCACAGTACTTGTTTAATAAATAATTCCTTCACGTACTATCTTTTGGCCAGTGTCCTCAGGGCTTCCACCTGGCATGTGGAGGGGCATCATATGGGCCAATTCCCCACTCTGCTGGCCTCCCCAGTCCTACACCCCCACCCCAAGTCCTCACTCACATAGAAGCACACAGAAGCATGCCTTGAGACTCGACTCCTCTCATCTTCTGGGGTTTCAGGTTGCACAGCACCACCACCAGCCTATCCTGCAGTTCCTCCTTGGGCACAAACTGCACCAGGCCGCTCACCACAGTCCGTGGCTCAGTTTCCCCCACGTCAATCTTCTCCACGTACAGGCTGTCTGCGTCTGGGTGCTGCCAGCAAGAGATGTCAGTCCCGGAAAGTCATAATGGAATAGATATGGGGCCTGGTGAACCTTCTGATCTAGAAAGGGGCAACTACACGCTACAGATGTCCCTGAGGGACCCTCTAGAGCTAACTCTCTTCCCAGGTTCCAGGGAGCAGACAGGAGAATGGGCCTTGGAGGTGCATTCTACTCTCAGTCTCAAGAGGCAGGGTTTGAATGAAATGAGCCTAGTTACTTGTGTAAAGAGGTGGAAGGAATCTCTAAGAGAGAGGAAACAGCCTGGACTATCTGGGGGGCTACCATTATGGCTGCATGCTGCACCAGCTCAGTCCTAGGTGGACTGGAAGATGGCAGAAGGAAAACTGCTGGTATCACCATATGAAAGCAGCAGCAGCTATCTCAAAGTAGTTTTGGTGGTTGGGTCTATATAATGAAAAGCCAATCAATGCTAAGAGAAAAAAAGCCCATAACAATGGTCCCAGGCCACTGGTTGCATAACCTTCTGTCTCTGGAAATAAGGAAGTCCTTTTCCCTTTACCTTTCTCTCTCTCTCTCGCTCTCTCTCTCTCTCTCTCTCTCTCTCTCTGTGTGTGTATGTTTGGGGTGGAGGAAGGTTGTTTGGAGACCAAGTGGCTGATCCAAGATAAGGCCTGCAGCTAGTCCAGACAAGCTGGTAGAGAACAGGTGAGTCCATCAGACTGGATTTAACGGATAAACAAGTTCCCTCTGACTAACATCCGCCCCGCACCCCCATGCTGAGTTCCTGGCTGTGTTTGGTTGCCTAAGGTCCAGTGGCAGCAAAGGGAAAAGCCTGACGCCTGGAATTAGACACCTGGGTTCTGACTTGCAATATGACCTCAAGGATGTTGCTTCCCATCCCAGGCCAGGTTTCCTCCAGATGGAAACAGACAAACATGACTCCTATTTGCCTCTCTGGGATGTGATGAAAAACGAGTACCTTGTCCACACTAATGATTTTCCCCACACGGATATCCAGCCGGGATGGGATGACCTCCTCTGGTTCTGAATTCTTGGCAGGGCCTTTGACAGCTGGCTCTGGGAATGAGAAGAACCCCCAACGGGTCAGAATGCTCCTCCTTCCTCATGACAAGTCAACTGCTGATCCCACCACATGAGGACACTAGCAGGATTTCATGCAGAATCCCCAGAATCTAATCATCGATTATACCTTCCTTCATTTATCTATCTATCTATCTATCTATCTATCTATCTATCTATCTATCTGACAAATCCTTCCTTCTTCCTTATTTAACTTTACTGGAAAGATTTATAAAATTATAATTACTCATGTAGGACTTCATTATGGAAGTAGTAAATGGAGGACCTGAACACAAAACACCATTAAGTTTTATAGAACATGGGACTCCTGGCTTTTATTTCACAACG